GTTTATACTTTAGTGTATTATCTACAAGTGATTTAACTCTAGTGTAGTTTATACTTTAGTGTATTATCTACAAGTGATTTAACTCTAGTGTATTTTAAGTAAAATACGAAAACGAAAACTCACACAATTTCCTTCTTTGGCAGACCAAGTTTGACAATTTATACAGTTGTCGTGAGAGTGTCTTGGATGCGTAAGTAGGTTTTACCCTTATTAAAAGTTTTCATTGTTTTAGAAGTTCTTGAGAGATGTTTTTCCCCTAGTAAAGACCTTTTTTTTATCAGAATTCATATTTCATTTATAATTTTCTACAATTTTGTTTCAACACCTGATATTTTAAAAGGTGTGTGAAGGATGACACAATCTTTAACAAGATTATTTCCAATATGTAGGAGCTTGTTTAGTGAAGTCAATAAAATCCATGTAAATTTATTTCACCAGATATATTGGTTTCGTATTTGTAAAAGTGATGTTCTGTTTACAAGTTTATGAATTCTTTAAGTTTTGTGATTATATGCTTATTCAGTAGTTGTTTGCGTGAAAGAATTTCTTTGGGTCTTCTTAGATTAAAACGATCAACCGATGTGATGTTTGGTGGAAAACAGGTTCTCGTATGCGGATACGGAGAGGTAAGTTAGTGCCCACCCACCGTGGATACTGAAATACACCTACTCGTGTTTGCTAAAGAACAAGTACCAGTGTTCTTCCACCACTTGAAAATATCTGTTATTCATAATACAAAATTTGTTTGTTCTCAGCTTGAAAAAGTACAGTTTCTAATACTTCAAACAGCGTGTCTGAGAGAAGTTAGTGTACCTGAATTGAGTTGTCAGTTTTGTTGCTTTTATACCACATACAAATAATAATGATATTAGTCCAACCAGGGCTAGAAAATACAATCTGTACAAATTATATACATTCTTGTTCTAAATTGGTCTTTTAAAATTTAAGAACTTGATAATGAGGAACCCACTTTTAACAAAATAAAAGTTCTGAGACAGCTTGACTGGGTAATGAAAAATCTTTATTATAAATGTACGACGTTTCGACAAGAATTTGTCATGCTCAGGTACAAGTAGTTTACAGAGATACGTAAGTATATACATATATATCTTTGTTCTATACTGCACGCACACACACACACACATATATATATATATGCACTATAGAACAAAGAGATCACATGACCAGATATTCCTTCACAGTCTAATATAGGTTTCCTGAGATTCCCAAAAACTGTGTCTTAAACAAGTCTATTCTAAGAATTCTCTATACAAAACCATTAATGTAGTTAACCAGACCCGTAAACTAAAGACAAATCTCACCAACAACAAGAGAAACCTTACCATCAAATTCACCCAAAACCCGGCACTAAACTAAAATCATTATTAAATACAAATTACATACAATCCCACAATTCCAAAGTCATTTATAAAACAACATGCGATATATGTCCAGAATTTTACATCAGAGAAACAGGTAGAAAATTGGAAACCAGATTAACTGAACATAATAAAAAACCCTGCCATGTTTACCACCATTGTAACTCCAAAAATCACAGTATATCAATACAAAACACTGTAATTTTAAACAAAGAACCTAACATCAATAAACACAAAATATTAAAAGCTATCTTAATTGAAGAAAACAGCCCCACCCTTTATCAACACTCCAGGGTACCAAGATACCTATATTAGACTGTGAAGCAATATCAGGACATGTGACATCTTTATTCTATACTGCATATATGTACTCGTGTATCTCTGTAAACTACTTGTATGTGAGGATGACAAAATTTTGTTGAAGTGCCATACATTTATAATAGTTTCTTCATTACCCAGTCAAACCGTCTCAAAACTTTTAAAATTTAAAAAACATTTTTCTGAAAAAGGCATTGCAGTCTTGAAAAAAGTCTGTGTTAGTGTAATTGGGTGTTGAAGTGAAAATAAATCTGTGGTTAAAAAGTTATACATATTTATATATAAAAATGTATTTATCAAACATATATATATATATATACAAGGAATAAAACATTTTGTAAATGTAAAATGATGTAGGTGTGGCAGTGCCAAAATGAATACAAACAAGAATATAGGGATGGTACAGCTATACACAGATCATCCCTACAGGACTTTCAGTATTATTATTATACTTTAATGTTATACTGTAAAATACATGAATACAAAATAGTTATGAGGTCTGTCAATTAGAACGACCTTGTAGCGAGAGTCTGTAATAGTCTAATAATCAAGACATGTTTTGGCTAAACTAGGTTTTTCTTGTACATAATTCCTAGGCTCTTAGTTACACTACATTGATGCTAACCCTAACATGACCGTTATATTATGATAAACAAACTGCACATCAACAGTTAGGTATATTTAACTTCCAACTGCAGTAATGTTAAAATCAAGTATGCATTTTATAGTGTAACATTAAAGTTTAATATTGAAAGTCATGTACGGATGATCTATGTATAACTGTACCATCCTTATATTTATGTTTGCTTTCTTTTTGGCACTGCCATCCCATCATCATTTTACAATTAAAAAATGTTTTTTATTACTTGTTTTGTGAAATTTTTACTCCTGACTGAAAGTTAGTGTATTCTACGAATGTGTGTAATAGAATTTAGTATTTTGTGTATTGATTTTTTTTTCTACTTCTTTGCTTCATACATAATTTATGGTTTGGTTCTCTAAAGACACCAATTGTGTAGCATACAAAGCATTGAGTATTCTACATGTTATAGTCATCTAATGTACATCTTTTATTGGCTGGTAATTCCTGTTTCATCCTGTACTTAAAAAAAGCCAAACCGAAGCGATAATGATAACATCGTTTTCACTAGAATTATGAGTTTTTTAAATTATTACTAGTTATTATCACTAAGCACTGCCCATTAGAGTTATCTCAACTGAAACAGGAAGAAGAAGGATGAACAATTTGGTGAGTTTCGTATCTTAGCGATCGTTTCATGCCTGATTTTTGGGTTTGTTGGTAGAGAAACAAATGAAAGTGAGTGACAATCATCTTTTGAAGTAAAACTGTCTGTCATTGGTGATTTTTTTAGCTTACACATTTGTATTATACCTAGTGAGTACCTTGGCTATCCCTACATAGAGAGTTTACTGACTATGATATATATTATAGTTTAACTAAATGTGATGTAATGTTTGATCTTCACAATTTATTTTTACTGTAGGTTAAATTTCATTGGATAAAATAGTTTTTTTTTGTCTTGATTTTGTTATTGTTAAGTGGATAAATTATTAATTGATGATTTCAAAAAAATTTTTTTTTTTTTATTCATTAAACTATGAATACTTTGAGAGAAGTTCCTAAATTATAAAATAATTTTTACTTAATATTAGAAAAAATTTAAACTTGTCATAACAGGAAATACTTTATATCAATACTTTACCATAGTAACAATTCTACACAAAATAATTTTACATAACAGCTGGAGAAATTACCATAGCACTGCACCAGCATGTGGTGACACTCTGTCTTAGTTACATGCAATCAAAAATACTATGTCAAATTGCTTAATTATAAGAAAAATCTTCAAAAGACTGTTTATGTTCTCAATACTTGAATACTATATTTATTATTTATGTGAGTTCTTAACCTTGAAATGTTATTGTACATTATCTTTCCTCGCTAGGCTTACTCACATAATCTATTCTTATATCAAAAATACGTCTTTATCTTCCAAAACACACAAATCGGATCTTATTCAAAAATCTTAAAAAGAGGCCGTAATTTAGGCCGAACACGTTAAAAACGTGTTTATCACCAAACTGAATATTACTTACTGTTATGAACTTTACAAAGAGAATCTTAAAATTATCCATATTTAAAGAAATTTTCAAATCTAGGTTGCCATGATAAAAACCGTGTCACAGTTTGTGCTGTGCAACTTGGGTCAGTTTGGATTGTAAAAACATAATTAACACGTCTTCTGTTACAGGTGGGAAAAGGATGTTGTTCTGCATTGAAAGGAATGGGCTCAGTTGTTTATGTAACAGAGATTGATCCTATTTGTGGTCTCCAAGCTTGGTAAGGCCTGATTTAGTAATAATTATGTAGAAATCTCTTTGAAACTTTATATATTTGTAATGTAATTTTACAAAATTTATTGTAGAAAGTTTTGGGAAATGGGTAGTTTCAGTGAGAAAAACAAAAAATTATCTTATAATATTAACTTCTGTTCAATTTTCCCTTCTTTTGAACATAATTCTCATACAGTCCATCATGTAAATATTGGAAGATTTCAAATTCGATCACGAGGAACCCACTTTGAGACTAATAATGGTTGAAGACGGCTTGAATGGGTAATGAAGAAAAACTTTAATATAAGTTTAACAGCAAATGTACAACGTTTAGA